CAGCAAGTGCTTCAAGCCCTCCTTACTTTCAGCAAGTTTGTGTCATCTGCCTATCAAAGGTTAATAAGCCTTTCTCCAACCGGAACTCACATATGAGTACTGGATGCCGTGCTCCAGGATTTGTTCTGGCTAATGGCACTGAGCTTCTCCATTGACTCTTCCCTAAAAAGAGTCAATGTGATTCCTGTGTTATTCCTTCTGACGAGGTCTATATATTATTGCCATAAATGTTGAAAAATGGTATATGCAATGAAGCAGACATCGGTTAACATTTAATACCTAATCAGTTTATCTCCCTTTTGATGCATTATAAATTTGTTCTAGTTTTTAATATGTCCTGCTTTCTTTTGAAGTTTTTCTGATTTATTTCGTTATTTTTGTTGAGGGTTTTGTATGTTGTCCAGCATATCAAATCCAGGATAGGCAAAAATCTATTGAGACAGTAACTGGATTAATGGCTTATTGGGGGTCTGGGAGGGAAGGCTGGAAGAAAAGGGGGAGGTGATAACAATGAGTACAAGAAGGAAGAAAATGTTCTAGAACTGACTGAAGTGATATTATACAACTCTGTAATATGCCTGAACTATTGAAGTATGATATGCAAATTATGTCAATAAAACGAATTTTTTAAAAAAAAGACATCAGTCATGCAAAAGCTCTCCGATATAATCTCCAAGACCACATTTTCTAATCACTGATATTGGTAAATTATCTGTATACCTCAAGTAATCCAAAAGCAGTTTTTGAGAGGAGCTGATACCACGGGCTCCAGTAAAAAGAAAAGGTTTTGGAAATGTTGATGGCAACCTATGCACAAGTGTGCTTAATACATGGATGGATTGTTGTAAGAAATGTAAGAGGCCCCCCAGTAAAACAGTTAATAATTTTCTTTTAAAAAGTTGTATTTGGGAAAATGAAAAGAGACATGCTCTGATTCAAACCACCACCACCACCCCAACTTAACTAATCCCCCATTCCAACTCAATTTTCAATAACTTGTTGTTCTTATAATTAGAGCACTAAAATTTAAACAGAATCATGTATTGCCCCTTTGAGGTATAATTCTCAATCTTTGGAACCCTTTATTTACCTTGAAGCCAAAATAATTGTAAGAGAAATCTCGGTCATAGATAATGGCTGAATTCAGGCGCTGAAGGGAGAAAAACACATAATATAATTTTAAAATGTTTTCAACTAAACTTAATTGTCACCAAATCTGTTATCACTTAGCCTCAATTCTACAGTATAAAACACAAAATTGGTGTAAAATACAAAAAAGATAACACTAAGCATTATTGCTATAGAATGAAAATCTATTATCAAACATTAAAAAAATAGTAGATATTGAGAATCTTAATTAGGCTTATAAACAAGCAGATTAAAAGACTAGAAGAGAACACACACTATGAGTGGTATGATTAAAGGCAGTTTTCAAATGCTTCCTGTATTTATAGTACATCTACAATTAAACAGGTATATAATGTGAGTGTTCTGCATTCTCATCCTTAAAACATGTTTTCAGACTGGCTGTTAATCCACAAATACTGGCTCTACTTACTTTTT